ACGCCAGTCTCTGATATTTCCTACCCATTAATTCGACATTTTACACCTAATAACAAAAAAACAATGTTTCACCACTCTTTTCAATCACCCCCATTATCCTCCGGTTCAATTCTACCAAACTTCCTGCCAATTCTCAGCGACCCTTAACCCCCCCCCCCTTACTCTTAATTCTACGTTCTACATTTTTTTACATTAAATGGAAAGCTCACGTGTAAGCAAGTCGACGGGACAGTGTATGGGGATTGTTTTAGATGTTAATTACAAGTACGGGAAGTATTTCAGGAAGATGCATCATGAAAGAGCACCGTGACATAGATACTGGGACTAATCCACTAAACAATGAAAATCAATCAGTGTTGCTGGGATACCTGAAATAGAGACAACCAGATGTGAATGATGAGCAAGATAATAAACTAGTGAGGCACATAGACACAGTTCCCCTTCTCCAAAGCAGACAATGCGACATTGGCTACCTTAGAAAAGTAAGAATTGGTAATGATACCTGGGAAGAATAATGCCCGCCCGATAGAGAGGTGACCAGAGGTGTGTTTGCATTGGGGTGAATGGTAAATTTCTCATCTTCCTTTAACTATCTTGTCCACATAATCTTACAAGTTAACAACTAAGACATGTTTTAAATTAGAACTAATTCCAGAGTGCATAACGCCAACTGATGGTTTACCAATGACTCGTCGTGAACATGGTGCTGAATTGCATTGATATACATGGTTTGGAGATAGCCGGCCTATGTCACCATTGGTATGTATGCTTTGATTGTGCTGGGGAGTGTTGAAATTTTAAGATCAAGCGGTAGCATTGCGTTACTTGACATTATAGCTCAAGATAGTTAGATTGTGAAATGGGAAGTGCCATCAATTAGGGTATTGTAGTGGGTGTCAACGCACTTATAGAACTATTCTAGTCTGGTTAATTATTTCAGACCATGGGGGTTATATAGTATTTGTGCTGGTAATACTCACAATTATTGACGGGTTACGCTTTTCCAGTCTCATGTTTAAGGTCATGTCGATGTCATCACGTCATTCACTATACTTTCAAAAAAATGTGAATTATTAATTATTAGTTCTATCATTTGATGATTGATATGTATAGCATATTTTCTTTAGTGTGACATTTTATATGTACTGCTTGGCGCTTCTTTTTTGTATTTTTATGTTAGTCTTGCTGCCTGTAGTTTTTCTTTATGAGCATAACCATTGAGCATTATTATTCACTGTCTCCAAATCTCTTGGATCACTTTTTATTTCACTCATCATCTGAGTTCATCCTGACATGTCAACACCTACGAGTTCCTAATGCTTATCGTGTTTCATTCAAAATTGTTACACTTGTATTTCCAATAGTCTCACGTCCTCATATATAACTGATACATTGCATATTTATAAACACTATAAAACAATGAACATTCGATCAAGGCATTAGTTTAACAGTAAGGTTTGGTAGTTTAAAATGAAATGACCTTATTTGATGATTTACCAGTTGCCATATGAAGCAGCTCTTCACTGTCACCCAGGGTATTATAGAAGATTGTTTGAATAATATTTCCTACTAGCTTTATTATGATTTTGGTGTTAAATGAAAGAAATGCTAAACTATGTGGATTGTTATACACAAAAGGATACAACATCATCTCACTCACGAATCCAGTTTTGGTTTTGTCTATGGGAAATTATATTCAGATCCGACCAAACAATCCAGTCATTGCCTCCTGTCTCTGTCTGGTTCTGTTTCTAAACAACTGGCCCTTCTCCCATTCACTTGAATCTATGGTTTTTGGTTGGCTATGTACCTTATCCTAATAGTTTTAGCCGATAATTTCAATATAAGTAAGCAGTGCATACACTATTTAAAAAAGCGTAAATTGATTTTGGCGTAGTACTAATTTCAAGGTTCCTGACTTTCTACTTTAACTTGAACGGTACAGTGGGGTCAATCCAATGGTAGTGGATCCCCCGATCTAATTAAGTATAAAAAGTACAATGTTATGATAAAACAATTGATAACTGGCAGTTCTATTTCAAATATTTTGCATTGACATTGACGACTTGAGGACAATAAATAACATAGTAGTAAAAAACATCCAACAGTAGCATTTCTATCACATTTTATTTTACGAAATTCAACGAATTTATGTTTGACGTAAACAAATAATACGGTTTTCGTACAAAACAAGAAATATATTGATATTTTCAAAAATATTAGTTATTTTTATTTTAAACTTTTCGTCATTGAAAAAATACAATATATTGGTAAGGTTCGTCAGTGTAGTTATCAGGTTATTGCTTACGTTATTACTGAATTGATAAGATTATATATTATTAGATATTACGCTTACTAAAATGAAATTTGGTTTCAATTCACGAAGTCCAAGAACACAAGCCAACAATAACAAAGATATATACACATATAAAAATCTATTTGGTAAGGATTTTAAAACAATCATATCTGTGACTGGATAACCTTTTCACTACTAGTTCCCTCTTTTTATCACAAATTCAAATAATAGTCCCGTTTATAGTCTGCAATTTCCTTCAGATGATTGGGGCAAAAATAGCCAAATCTTTTAAGTAAAAACTGAAAATTGACTCTAATTTTTTCTGTTGGCCCCAAAGTTACGCTTCATTTCCAGAAATATTGAAGAGCATAAAACAAAAATGCAGACAAAATTGGACGAGAAAATCTGGTTCACCTTATATGATGTAAAGTAAGGCGCAGGTATATTATTGTACTGTATTATTGTATAAAAATGGCTGAATCGAAGAGTGACAATTTTAAAGGGATGATACATTATTTTCCCATACCTTATGTTGTATTGATCTGTTGATTAGTGTAATTATTCGATTGATAATAAAATTATCATTCCATTAAAATGACGATGGTAATAAACCATAATTGTTTTGGAAAATATTGAAACCAATTATTGTAAATATTTAACAACTCTCGCAAATTTACTGAAAACGTTGATATATGAATAAAACAAATCTGATAAACCCAGATAATACTACGTCATTACCACATCGACGACTGTGTTAATTATGTAACTTAAATGACATGACATTATGAACTACAGTAAAGCAAAAAATCTGAATAAAAAAGCTGTATTTAGTTTCCAGTGAACTAGTTTCACTATAAGATCGTACATTTGCGGGCATTGGTGCTTGTGGGCGAGTACGTGACATGAAGTTATTGTGTCAATCCATGCCGATGATCAATTCTCGCACTTCGCGAGTATTCAAGTTGATACCAACACATGTGTCGCTTTTCAATACATACAAATATCACTCGCAGTGCAACTTTAAAACATTAGCAGGGGAAGGAATAAGAGTATTATAATATATTAGTATATGTGTCGTTTCATTTGGTTTGTTCTTTCAGGGGTTCGACATTTACATATTCATTGGGTATGTTTCCGTCTGCGACCGTATACTTCACACAGTTTCCATTTGACGTTTCATTATTTATGATGCCAAATTTTATATCATTTTTATTTGGTGTATCTGTATTTATGATGGCGTGCTTTACATCATTATCTTGGATTTCCAATTGAATGAAGCCTTCATCTTGAACATCATGGCACTGAGAAGATTTGATGTCGTCACTGACTTGTTTCTCAGTTTCTTTCTTTGATCTTCTTCGAATGTATCTCCTGTATGAAAGTCACGGGATTGTGTGTTAAACATTGAAAATGGTACTTAAAGGGCGGTAGTCGTCCGGCAGCGCGTGTTCGAATTTCATGTAAATGACAATGTATTTTACACGAGTTGTGGACGTCGGTATGAGTCCCATGTCGAACAGGACGAGGCGTGACGACCTCCGCCCTTTAAAGTGTTTCAGTTGTTTATGATAAATTTACAAACTGGGCAAATACTGCCTTTTGGTAGATAAAATATTGACTAAAAATAATTTTACATAATTCTTGTTCTATTTTTTCACGTACCTGTATAACAGGACTCCGGTCACCACCAGTGCAACGACAACGATGGCGATAATGATAACTATTATGAGCACGCACTCTAATAAATTATAAATTAAATATTTTTTGTTATTATATGATGTAATGCAACAGGATAGCTTAAATTTAAAGTTGTATTTAATAAAAATGTGACTCGTTTAAAACACGTCCGGATATGCAAATGGGCATCATGTGTCAGTTTCATGTGTATTCAATTCAATGGGACAAATAAAAAAAATGTATTTTAATCGCTGCCCGCGCAATAAAGCAAACAAAACTGTCTGTTTGTTCTGCTGGTGTAGGGAGTTCTGGTGGAAAAAGTGAGAAAAGCTGTTTTAATCCAATTATTGAGCTGATGCACATTTGTCACGCAATGTTAAATACTACGACAATTTAATTAGCAACACGGAAGTAGTTGTGAGAGTTAATATATTAGTTGGGTGTATTCGCTGTTCGTACAGTAAAGCAAAAAAACTCACCGTCTGTTGGCTCTGTTGGTGTAGGGATAGGGAATTCTGGTGGAAAAACTGAGAAAAACTATTAATCCAATTATTGAGTTGATGCACGATTGTCGCGCAAAGTTAAATACTACGAAAATTTAATTAGCAACACGGAAGTAGTTGTGAGAGTTAATATATTAGTTGGGTGTAATCGCTGTTCGTACAGTAAAGCAAAAAAACTCACCGTCTGTTGGCTCTGTTGGTGTAGGGAGTTCTGGTGGAAAAACGGAGAAAAACTATTAATCCAATTATTGAGCTGATGCACGTTTGTCACACAATCTTAAATACTGCACCAATTTAATTAGCAACACGGAAGTTGCAGTGAAGGCAGTAATATACGCCGTGATTATTATTGTACGAACTGAACACAAACAGCAATTTAAAGTTGTATTTAACATCATCATATGTGCTTTTTCACAATTTAAATATCATTTGAAAAAAAAAAAAAAATTGAGATGGCGACATACACAATGTTGAATACATTGCTTGTTTGAAATACAATGACCGTATATTTCCTGGTATCTCTTACTCATTTAAAACACGCCCGGATATACAAATGAGACATTGTGCGTCAGTTTCCTGTGTATTCAATTCAATCATAGACAGTATAGTAGTCCTACTATACTGTCTATGATTCAATGGGACAAATACGTACAGAATAAAGCAAATAATAATGAAAAAACTCGTCGTCTGTTGGTTCTGAGGGTGTGGGGCAAACTGATTAAAGAGAAAAACTGTATTATTGCAGTGAAGCACCTTTGTGTCACTAATTTACATTCTGTTACAATTCAATTAGCAACACGGAAGTAGTTGTGGGAGTTACCATATTAGTTGGGTGATCACCATTAATTTATTCATCCATTCATACACACCAAAAGACAGATATAAGTGACAGTAGAGGGCACTGGCATACACGGTATTAATACGCACTATAATTGTATTAACCACTAACACGAACAGAATAGTTTAATAAATGCGCCATCGAATGTATATTTCATTGTGTCACACTAGAGCAAAAGCTTTTAATTTGTTCATGATAAATAATAAGAATATTTTTCATCAATATACAATTTAAAACACCAAATATTATCGTCTATTTTGTATCTATATGTAAAATCGCAGTTTACTAACCCGTGTTGCGACAGTTGAAAAGCGGTGGCGGTGAAAGCAATGACTTGTAAGGTGGCGGGCAGGGACAGTTTCCAGCAATATTGTGTGTATCCATACTTGTTCTACCCGAGTAGCAGAAATGAGTATGACCGAACGTTGACATATTTGCCAAGTGTTGGATCTGCAAAAAAAGTGTACACAAATAACCGAATATTATGGTAAGTGTGTCTTTGAATCAGTAACGATGTCTAAATGACTGAGAACGTGGTTTATAGGTGGAAAAAAGGGCGGTGGTCAACACGCAGCGCGCGTTCGAATTTGGTTTTTAAATTACAGGGTTTACGTCGTATTGGACCAACATAGAACACGACACATCGTGATAACCATGGTATTTTAAAAATATATTCAACTACAAACCTGTGTCTCAGCGCTCATGAACGAAATGACAACAACTGGCACTATGGCATAATCGTGTTCCTCAATGCCGGAGATTTTACTTCCTCAAAATGTCATTTAAGGTTGTAGGTCCATTGTGTACGTCTATTCGAGCATTACCGTAAGGTTGCCGAGTGTTGATTGGAGAACTGACATTTCTCCTAAGCGTACACTGTGTCGCTAGACACGATTCGTATGCCCCTCCCCCCAATAAATCAAAACATACGCGTCAATAGATCAAAAAAGAATTCAAATTGTTTAGTTCGAAATTAATCTTGATTATATGACAGGTGGATTGCCATGAAAGTGGAGCATTCTCTTGGTTCATACACAGTGTTGAGGGACTGTGGTTCACATTTTAAAGCGGGGAGTCGTCACCTGCGCATGCGTCAGGTGGCCATAGCGTGTCATTGCTTACAAACAAGCGTCTACCCATAAGCCTTAGCGTGTGTTGTTATCATCGCTTGGGACTCAATTCCCGTGCGTGCGCAGGTGACAACTCTCCTGCTTTAATTTGAATGAAAGCTGATTATCCGTATTTACAAATTGAAATATATATATTTATAAGCTAAGGGACAGTTTTCTGTCTTTCACTGTATTATCATTAATGATCTCTAGTAAATAGAGTAACTATGATGCCATATATAATTGTTAATGATACATTTTTGTGAAATGTGTGAATCTAGTAAACAAAAGTTAGTGGAAGTATTTAATTAAAGTGCCTGTGCAATGCCCACCCTCACATTCCCCATTTTAGATCTGTGTCCCACTGAAAAGGGTAGTTATTGATTTTTTTGCTGAAAATGATTACTCGTACCCAAGTAAATTTAGGATATTTCTCGTGTTGTAGCCACGCCCACCTATCGTGAAACGGTCGACTGTTTCCGGATTTCCGACTCTCGCCGAAAGTGCGCCACCAAATGACAAAATGTGAGAGGAAGTCATACCCCTGAGCCGTAATAACACTAGTCGTTCAGTATACTTTTAAACGATATACATTTTTCGGTCGGCGTTTTTTGTTTTGTTTTTTTTTGGTCTATTTTATTTTTTTTGAGAGAGAGAGTTTTTAGATGTTGTGTTGTGGGCAGTTGCAGTGAAACGTATAGCCATAGTGTATGTATTCACACGTTTCTAATCGATCCAAAGGTGCAACATCACTTAACCTTAGATTCATTCAACTGTCCTCGTCCATAAAAAAACGACTAGGTTTAAAGAGAAACGTAAACCTGGCGCAACACTTTTAAAAGAAATAATTCCGGACCAGCCCATGATCACCGAGGCTGGATTCAGAAGAGAAAGAGAGACGTCCGGCAAGTGTTTCAAATCAGATGACTTTTTTTGCGATCCTGATTATCGTTTTATAGAGACCATTTAGTCCCTGTTAAGTAAAAGGTAGCAATAATTTTGATAGTGACACGAAAACGAAGCGTCGGACAAACAGGAAATTACAAAACCTTTACACACTGCTAACTGTTTTCATTTTCGAAGGCTAAAAGTTTCTGAATTGTTTGGTGATTGGTGTTGAATGTCGAATTCACACCTCTGTTCTTTTTTACCTCCCAGCTTGCAGATTGATCTGCGTAATAATTTATGAAATAAGAATCCGGGCTTGGTCAATGTGTTTCCACCAAATAAAGTTTTAATACGATGTTATAATTATGACAATCACGCCATGGATCAAGCTAACTTGAATCCACTTTGAATCTATCTGTATGTGTGTCGATCTCGATTATTTTTGTTATCCAATTAAACGCCGCTTTTAACGCACTTGCCCTCGCCGTGACCCGACGCGTTCACCTATTTCAACAAAATGTCAATTTATTTCCACGCGGCTGTCATTTATTTAGTAACTGTGATTTGTCGTTTTTTTAATTATTTTATAGTGATCACTATAGTCTAATGTTTAGAATGTTCAAAATATGTTCTCTTTTATTTTAATTTTGAAAGTTTTACTCAGACGATCGATGAAATAAAACAGTATAGTGACGTGCCTAGGTAATCTGCTAAATAACGTCAAAATCTAGTTTGTCCAGCAAC